AACAAAGCACACACAATATACTTGCCAAGCCACCCCTACTATATTCCTGGTACCTTCCTTTAAAATAAAATGTCAACATTAACTGTTGCCATTGTCATGTTTTAAAAGCCATGGATTTCAATGGGTCAGATTTTATTTTGTTTGTCCTGGTAAAGCCAAAAAGCCAGGAGAGCTGCAGGCTCCAGTTCACACAGCTCCAGATGAGGAGGGAGACACCGAGAGACAGGAAGTTATAACCAAAGGATGACCTGACTAACACCGAGAGGGAAGCTCCCTTCCTCTGATCTCGCCCTCGGGCACCACTGCGAGTTCCTGTCTGACTCCTCAAAGCCAACCAAGTGACTGAATGTTAGTTTCTGTGCAGCGCAAAAGCACCTGCTGAAACCAAAGCTGGCTTTTCAGCAGCGAGGGTGGATACCTTTTGCGCCTTTTCCTATTTTTTTCTTCATCAAACCTTTGAGAGAGGGAGGGGGGCAGGGAAGAGTGGTTAGGAAATAGAGAATATGAGACAGCCAATAGCGAACATTCAAGGAAAACGTTATACAGGAAGCAGCCTTTCCTCTGTGGTGTAAAAACTTGTATCAGAAATGAGTTTCATTCCCCTGAAAGCACATACAGTCAAAGCCTAGATTAGAAAGTGCGGCACTTCTACAAGATACAACCAAACAGGGTAAAGCTTCTTTTAAGACTTTTGGGATCTGTATGTTTATGTCAAAGACTGAAATGTCACAATATGTTACTGTCGATAGGGGAGAATTTAGCATGGCAAACTTACTCTTTGATGCACTCCGGTATGGAGACGTATTCCATGGGAACCAATTCAGCCAGCTCCACCAGGCTGAAGACATACTTGATTTTTTGGCTAAACTTTGAGCTGAGGGAATAAAACACTGGTGTTAACACTGAGCATTAGCATTAGAATGGCTAATCTGACCATGAATGTACACCTACTCAACACACAAAGCAGTATTAACCCACCTTATAAAGGGCTTTGTGATGGCCAGGAGCGTGCGGATGAACCACGAGGGGTGGACAATGATCAAAGACTTCAAATTCTTCCGTAACCTGCGATGACAAGGTCAGGACAGAAGGTTATTATTGCTAAAATTCAAGGATGCTTCAATGACAAGACTGTTTAAAGTATTATGTTGCAGAGCTAAAGTAAATGGCCAAAAACTCTAACCAAAATATATGCTTGAACACAATAAATTCCATCCAATAATAGGAGGATAAGAGAGAAGCTCTGCTCAGGTGTTAAGCAAAACTCGGCACACAACACACTTCATGCTATACTTATACCATGATTTTGTAAGGCCATGTGGCACAAATGACTTAAGTGCATCGAGGCAATATCGGCTTTAATTTTACGGTGTGGTCATCTGAACATCCCCATACATTCCAGTAGAGACAATATTTTAATGTGAAATGAGTGTACTGACGTACCAAAGCACTTCTAGTACAAAGTGTCGGTATCTGCTATTAAAGCCTTAAGTAACGTGGCTGACAGGAAATACATATTTGCAGCAGCCCGGCATGACAGCGATCGCCCTTACAAGATGGCGCTATATGATCCAGTCTGACTCCGAGAGACTATCATCGAGCTAACTGCACTGAGGATGACTCTTGAGATGCAGTAAATTCATGGGCCGACTTCACCCATTTTGGAGATTTAATTCTATTTCAGACTGTTCTGGGGTGCATTTCCCAAAAGCGTAGTTGCCAACTAGGTTAGCAACTTACATAGTTCGTTCGTTCGTTCGTTCATTCAATGGGTCCAACAATGTAAGTCAGCATCTGTGATTTCGGGAAAAGCACCCTGATTGAAAATAAGCATTATGCATTGGATATACTGCTGTGCGTTGTTACTGCTGCTTCCATGCTCTTTAAAATGCGTTATAAAAATAGATTTCCCTCCGCGAGGAACCAGTCCCTCCCTTGAGTAATTCATGTGGTCCGTGGACTAAAAAAGTAAGGTCTTATTACCTCCGGTCAATCTGTTGATAGCACTTCCTTAGCCAGCCGACGCTCGGCATCTTCCTGCGTGTCGTGGCTCCATTAAGATACACAATCATGTAGTTCTCAGCAACTAGCAGCTCCAGAGTCCCAATCACATACCTGCAGAGAGATCAGCCAATGAGTCGCATAAAATCACCCAAAGGCCACACCCACTACATGCTCAAATGGACCCGTTAACAAGGTCTTACTTGAAGAGATTGTCCATGATGTATCTGTAGTTTGGTTGATTGCTCTCTGGCATAAAACATACAGCAAATACAATGATGGCATTCAGGCCGTCTCCGTAGTAACCTATAAAGAGAAGTAGTACAGCAGGTGAAAATCAGAAATACGATTATAGAGCTGCAGAGAACACAAGCATAATGAAGTACGATGCACATTATAACCCTGGTCATGTTTTCATTGGACACGAATGGGTTACTGGTGCATAAAATGAAGTATGATGGGTTTTCAGAAAAATAGCCATCCTTTTTAGAAAAGAAAATGAAAACAAAAACAAAAAAAGTCATTTTGGCTCTAATACTTCATGTGGCTTGAAATACCCTTTACAATGTAGAGATGCGCAATCACTGCATTGCAGAACACTGACAAATGCAGCTGAACTTTTATTGCAGTACTGCAGCATGTTAGCATTGCCTCGTTACATCTGCAATCTGGACAGTGTAATCACACTGAGGCACCACTGTCTGAACCCTTTGTGATTGGTAATCATATGCAGAGTGCCAAACCGCTCTTCGAAAGCAGCTGTCAGAGGTGCCAGAACGACCCTCTCAGGAAACAGACGTCTGCGGGCTGTTATTATTGGGCCGTCCCATTAATCAAGCCACGCCTATAACACCTCCACCTCCAATCCCCCACCCCTCAAGAAACAACACTATTCTCTCTCTCTCTCTCCCCCTCTCTCCATCTCTCCCTCCCTCCCTCCCGTCTCCACGTCTTGAGGTATTTGGAAAATGATAATTTTATCAAATATCTATAATTCTAAAAGGGTTCACTCAATTTGGACGATACACCACCAGCTGAGATTTGTGGGGTACTTGATTTATATTGAGTGATCGATGTTGGAACAGCTGCCCTGCAAAACTGTCGCTGTCCAATAACGCACCTCACTGTGAGTCACTCTTCGCTGTTACTCGAGACAGGAGACGGTGATAACAGATGCGAGCGACACGGACACAAAGATAGGCCCCTGGACACCTCAGTGCGCTGTGCCATCCAGGTTTAGCCCGTTACTGGGGCAGCGACACTCCTAAGGGGCACGATGACGTCACGTTTGTATAGTCATCCCTAAATGCAAGTCCCCGCCCCGATGTCTCAGCAGTGCAAACCCCGATAGAGAAGACGAAGCTCAGCGGTTCGGTCATACTGAGGTTCCCCCATCAGAGTAAACCCACGACCCCCCCACCGAATATACCGCTCAGCGGCAGCCGCTGAGCTGAAAACAGAGGCAGGACAAAAAAAATCCTTTTCACTGATGTCTTGATCCATTTTCAATCATTTTCCTTGATTAAAAATACATTAAATCTGAAAACACGCAACATTATCGGGTTTAGCCAGTTATGTCAAGACAATATAGCTCATTTGCATGCAAAAATGGCCCCAATATAACAATGTACATGTTGCCCTTTTTTTTTTTTTTTTAATTTAAGGACATGCCACGATCCAACACGAAAAATAACAGTCATCTCTTCTTGCAAAACACACTTCCTGAATTAAATAGCTCTACTTCATATTTTGATCCTCCTGATGTTATTTCCAAAAGAAGCAGCGAGTGGCAAACTTGAGAATGAAAAAAAAGACAGAACACAGGTTAAGACTTTTCATCCAGTTAAAGGGAATTTTTTTTTTTGTGCCTCTGGTATCACTCTATGGTTGGTGACCATTACAGGAACACTGAGCACTGGCTAGTGTAATTCAGCCAGAGTGAAATTTCATTCCACACTGAACCGCCTGCACACTGCAATTAAGGCAGACAAAGTAGACAACCAGGCAAAACTGGCAGCGCGCAACCTCAGTGTTTGAATCTCCAAGACCGAAAACGACCACGTTGATTTTTTAAATGAGCACCATGCCACACCAAGCCAGCCAGAACGGAGCCAGCATGACCGCGCGGAGGCGGTTACACGATTCTACAGGCAGGCGCAGCCCGGCACTGACCTCCGTGGCTGATGACCCTCTTGTAGGGCTCGATGGCCTTCATGTCGACGCGGTGCTCCTGCTCGCCGATGCGGAAGACTCTCCAGCGGCGTCCCTCCTCCCTCTCCTCGGCGGCGGAGTACTCCGGCACTGACTCCACCCCCTTCTGCAGGAGCTCCATGGCTTTGGGCTTGGGGAGGTCGTCTGGAGGACATGGGAGAGGGGACAGGTCAGAGGAGACAGGCAAACCCTCCGGAGAGCTCATGCCGAGGTCCGAGGGGAAAAGGGACGAGGGAAGTTCTCATTCAGGAGTAAGAGGGACACCACAATGGAGACGAACACAAATACTCCAGCAGGAGCGGCAGTCAGACCCATCCTGCAGGTAGAAGGCGAGTTTCAGGGGTCCCAGGTGACCCCACTAAACACACCACCTCTGCATCACGGCTGGAGCCCTCATGACACCTGTTCTGTTCACACAGATAAACACTCCTCTGAATAGCACAAGCTCTTCTGTAGTAGCCAGAGGGCTGTAGGGAGCTAAACCCTCGAACCGCTACCTGACAGGCGAGGGCATCAGCTGAGCACACGAGCTACTTCCAGGCTGATTAAGTTCATCCTCATTTAACAAACATTCATTATTCATCCTTTACCTAAATCACTTCTTCCACATTAGGATCCCGAGGGCAGCTGAACCTATGCCAGCCCACTATGGGCTAAAACCAAGAACACACCTTGGGCAGCTTGCCAATCCCTCACACGGCGCCCAGATCATTACACACCCATACCTATGGGCAATTATTCACCAATTCTCCCTGCAAACATGAGAAAACATGCAAACTCCACACAGACGCCCCAGGCTGGAATTGAACCCATGACCTCCTAGCTGTCAGGGAACAGCGCTACCCACTGCCCTACCGTGCCGCCCACCTTTATTATTCAATGAATATTATTTCAGCGTCAGCTTTAGGGTCCTACACCTGTCAGAACATGTGTCATGAGCTGCAGGAGCACCCTGGGAGATCGGAACAGCACCTGTGCTTTTCAGCAGGAGATTAGAGCCCCTGAAGTACAGCAACTCAAGCACAACTTCAGCTACTGCGGCTGATCGAGGGCGAATGGCACCATTTCTGTCACATCAAACTGAACAGCATATTCAGTATGCAGATTATGCCATTTTTCTGTGATCATAAAATCAGTCCGTCATCGATTTCATTTCCACTACCAGATTAAACACAACAAACAATTCTCTTATATTCAATTCTATACATCAAAAATTTTTCAATTATGTAATTATTGATTGACTGGATCACCCAATCAAGACAATTAATGATTACATGACTTTTTTGTTTCGCGTTCACCATGTGAGATGAGTGGAAAAGGAGGACCTCAGCATGTGTACTGCAGTAGGCGAGCATGTCTGAGCCGTCCTCCATTAAATGGACAAGAAAATGCAGTTTCCGCATAGATCAAGCTGCACAGAAAAGGAATCACTACATTAAAATATGTATCTGCCCAAAAACCTGTCTGAATGGAGTATAACAATAGAGCGCAAACTGAAATCCCACGATTTTTCGAAACTCAGTAGCTTAATATGAACTTCATTGCTTCAGACCAAACTGGTTCATATTAAATACCATTATAAACCTCAATCTATAATGTTTGTATCCTCGGTACGAACAGCTACAGTTTGAATCAGTTTGTCATTATAAAGAGAAATTAAAGGGAGTAAGTCAATCTGAAGATACACAATCATGAACGTGCGAGAACATGCAGACACAATCCAAAACAAAATATGACCCCAGGTCAGGGACGACCAAATCCGAGAACCGTTGGTTTTCCGCTCTCCTTTACCTGGGAGTCAGATGTAAAGACACTCAGGCCAATAGGAAGCATTAATTTTTCATTAAATTAATTAATTACCGGGGAGAAAAGCAAACCAGGGCTTTGGACTCGAGGCCCAGATTTGGTGACCCCTGACCTCGGTGATGATGAAATGAGTCATTGGTGCAAACTTGATTGGTACACATAACCGAAAAACTGCAAACACGGGGAAACAAAGGCCAATGAAATCACAGTTCTGGGGATCTGATTGTCTTGATAAAGGTGACGTCCTCGCTGAGAGACCTTACCCTGCGGCAGAGACACCTGAGGCTGGTGAGGAGCCTGTTTCACAGCCCAGAGAACAGAAACAATCCTTCCAGGAGATGGAGGAAAGCGACAGCAGAGACACAAGAACACAAAGACCTTTTAAACATGCCGAGGACGCGCCGGAGCTTCAGGACCGCGGTCCACTGCACACTCTCTCAGCAGTGAACTCTGGGACAGGGCAAAGTAGCGCTACATGCTAATAGCAAAACTTAATGTGAATGCAACTGCTGCACATGGTAGAACAGTAAATACGTTTCCCGACATGAGGTCATTATGCAACACTGCAGGCTTTCTTGAATCCACAGTGCAGTCTAAAAGTGTTTGGACAGTTAAGACTGTATGAAAAGGCAGCAATTACCACGAGTCTCACGATTTTGAGGTGAGGACCCGCAAATTAACACGGTCAGTCTCTCCTTGAACCTTGTATTCACCGTTTTCTTATGTTGTGCGTGATTTCAGAGCCAAAAAGCAATAGAGCCAAAATTTGTGTCACAGTTCAACTACTTATGGGTTACAGAGTGCACTGTTGAAGATCGATAACTGTAGGAGCAACACTTAGGAAGTTCTATGTTCTCATTTCACAAAAGAAGAACGAGCTCTGGAGATTGCGGCTCACAGTCCAGACAGGAATCAGACAGGTAGCAGACTAAAGTTATCGAGGGTAAATACTGAGGACACAACCCCTACCTTCCCACTCAAACTCGTTGCTGTTGTCGGACGGGGTGTCCATCCCGTCCAGGTCGATATCGCCGCTCTCCTCCAGCTCATCGGATAAAATGGAGCCTTCGCTGCGGTCGAGAGCGAGGCTGATGTTGGGCGGCACCAGCTTCTTCTTCACCTTCCTGTCCCCGTTTGAGCTGTAGGGCTGCGAGCCTGAGAGAGGACCCCACTCAATGATGACATCATCCTCAGGTAACACTATGACATCCCAGCATGTAACTTCCTGGAGGACTGAACTAGTTTTGCAGCCACTTCAGGTTTAGCCCTATAGCTTCAATATATACTTAGCTCCATTAAAAACGCACAGGTGAGGTATGTACTGTATTTGCAGCAAATTGAAGAATCGATTGATTTTTATTGCTTTTCCAGCGAGGTACGAGAGGAAATAAAAAAAAAAAGCGTGGTATTCTAATCTGACGCACCACATGCACATGCCGCCAAGCACTTCAGTAATAACAAACATTGAGCTGTTCGTGATGTGTACAGTGACACTTGACTTGTTCTTTTTGGTGTGGTCAATAGCCTACAAAAAAAATGAAAAATGCTACTGCATCAAGAAAATGGAATGGCTTGCGACACAGGAGAGAGAAATAGAGCCTTTGGCATGTTACGGGCAGATCTCAGCCGCCGAGAGGTGGTGCGTCATTTGCACTGTCACCGTTCAACAATCAGTCAGCTGTCTATCCGAGAATGGAACACAGCCACTGTCACTGACCGACCCGCTTAGGGCAGCCCACAGTGGCGATGGCAGCTCAAGAGCGCCACATCTGGTTACAGCCTGTCACGTGACAGATTCCGGACAGCAACCAAAACTGATCATGAGATGAGGGGTCTGAGACGACTGAGGGTGAGCGCAAGTACCGTTTGACGCCGTCTATGTGAGCAAAACATGCGTGCACACGGCGCCTACAGAAAACCCATTTTTGCCCATCCACAGGAGTAGGAACTCTTCACTTCTGACTGTGGGCACCTGCCTCTGTGTCATTTTTTGGCACTTTATTCCCCTGTTTCTGTCTGAGAATGGAAAACAGGGACTGTCGCTGACCGACCACGGTAAGGGCAGCCTTGGCGAAATGGGCAAAAAACTGGGTTTGCCGAGGGCTCGTGTGCACTCATGTGTTGCTCACAGACGGCGCCAAACGATATTTGCGCCACCCTCAATCGCCTCGACCCCTCATCTCACGATCAGTTTTGGTTGCTGTCTGCAATCTGTCACGCACAGGCTGAAACCAGATGTGGCGCTCTTGAGCTGCCATCGTTACTCGTGGCTGCCCTAAGGGGGGTCGGTCAGTGACAGTGCTTGTGTTCCATTCTCGGATAGACAGCCGACTAATTGTTGAACGGTGACAGTGCAAATGACGCACCACCTCTCGGCGGCTGAGATCTGCCCGTAACATGCCAATGGCTCTTTTTCTCTCTCCTGTGTCACAACCCGTTCCATTTTCTTGATGCAGAAGCATTTTTCGTTTTTTTTGTTGGCTTTATGTAGGCTATTGACCACAACAAAAAGTCATGTGTCACTGTACACATCACAAACAGCTCAATGTTTGTTATTGCTGAAGTGTTTGGCGCTATAGCACGGTGCGCGCGCCAGATTAGAATACCACGCGCTTTTCTTTTATTTCCTCTCGTGGCCTCACTGGAAAAGCAGTAAAAATCAATCGATTCTTCAATTTGCCGCAAATACAGTACAAACCTCACCCCTGCGTTTTTAATGGAGCTAAGTATACAAATATGGCCCAGGACTATGCAGGTCACCATACAAAACTCAAATTTGGCCGTGTTGACTGTGAAACTTGTGGTTAATGTCTTGAATAATTCATTTGTTTACTTTTTCTTCATTTTGCTGTGTTGCGCTACAACGTCCTCAAATAAATTCTGAGAGCAGACAATGACTCACAGGAATCTGACGGCACAGGAAATGGCAGATACATCTTACCGGCCTCTCCATCCTCATGGGCGACGGAGAAGAGCTCTTCATCCATATGCATATCCTCCTCTTCCTCGGGCAGCGGCCTGTGATGCAAACCCATATCTGATAATCCCACCGTCACACGCTCCCAAACCCATATATGGTAATCCCGTACAATCCCACCGTCACACGCTCCCAAACCCATATCTGATAATCCCGTACAATCCCACCGTCACACGCTCCCAAACACAGTGAAAATTTAACATGGCCTTTAAGTCTTAACTTTCAGTAGCACAGTATTAAATCAGGTACTGGACAAATGTCATTTGGCTTACAATGCCAATGTAATTGAGATTAAAAAAACAACCGCTTCAAAGATTCTTATCAAATACAACCGAAACCCTCCATAATCTAGACTTCAGCATGATGCATAAAAAAAAAAAAAAACTGTCCCAGTGGTTCTATCTGCAGCCGGAGACGAGGCACCCCAGGCTGGCTGTCTGAATAACACATACTGTACGGGATATAACGCCCTCTTGAGTCTGACTAAAGACACTTATTCACACCTGAGAGGTAAATGATGCTTGGTGATGTATGGTGGCCAGATCCCCCTCTTAGGCTATACAGCATTGTCACCTGCAGCGTCCTTCAGTTCCAACGCTCTTCACCGAGTGAAGAACACTTTAGAACATCCATGGCTTCAGACCCTACTGAATGCATTCCCACCACTGGAGCCGATTCACCCCCTCTGGAAAGGGTCCAGGGGGGCTTACCCATGACTCTCGTGGCCCCCTGCTGGCCAGCGGAGGTATGGCATGCAGAGATGGTCAGCCTCATGGTGGGTCTCCCATCCTACCAGGAACTTGTGTCTCAGCCAGGAGGAGACAGAGTGCATCACCGCCCAGCGCTGTAGCGTCTGCTTGCTCAGCTATTGAGAGGTTACACTTCATGCCCTAAGGCCTACCTTTCAATGCTGCCGCTACAGCTCAGAGTGACGGGGTTTCCTCTAGCAGGGGCCTGTATGCTCATAAGTCAGATTATCAATATTTTGGTTAAGTAAGATAGTTAATTTAATAAATGCCTGAAGTAGACCTGAAAACCCGGGACAGATATGGCACTCGTAGCCCACCTCTGTTTTAAG